AGGAATTCGGACGCGTTTGTATTGTTTTTCAAACGATTTTAAAAGGAGTGCCATGTTTTGATGGTACGTTGTTGATTAGAAGACAGACATTGGTATTCCACATTTTGCTCTTGCATTTGTTCTTTTTACTGTCCGATGAACTCTTTCAACTATTCCATTTCCCGATGGTTTTTTCAACAGCTCGATAAATATTTCTTATTTCCCACTTCAACGCCATAGCTTGCATAGTCTGAGATCTAACCGACTTAGAATTATTTAGGAGAATTTCAGAAGGAGGTCCAAACGATGACCATATTGTTCCTAACGATTGAACAACCATTGTTGCACTTTCGTCGCTTAATGGTGTCCACAACGTGTATCTGATTGGGCCACAATCAATACAAGTTAAGATACAGCAATGAATCAACGTAAATAACATCGTATATATAATAAACTACTCTTTTCCACACTTTGCTAACAGCAAGATTTCCTTTATCCCACGAAATCACATTAGGATCAATTAAATTGCATTCATCACATTCAGCGACAATTTGTTTCACTGTGTCTTTGCTAACGTGGATATCAGCACGCGAGCATAACTTCATACTCTTGGAAACTCCCATGTGTGCTATTGAGTGAACTTTTTTAATCTGCTGATGATCGTGCTTATAGATGGTATTACATTCTTTGCAACGTTATTTTTTATCCATTTTTTTGGCACTTGTGTGAGTTCATCTGCGATATTTTTTGTTGTTGGTACACATGTAACATTTACACTTATGACATAATCCTCGACCAATTTTCTAAATATTTGAAGCCTTCGTCGGATTAGCATTTTACATTGCCCAGTACATTTTACAGGTTTGTCACGAGTCAATTCAGAATTTTACCAACTGAATACACTATGAGAATCAGTTTTGATAGAGACATCCCTTGGGTTCGATTTCAATGCCATATTGAGACCTTTAATACATGCATCCAATTCAGCCACGTTGATATGGATTGCATCAGACTTTGGTTGAAGCTAAGTTGTATCTTCTATTTTTTTGTCACCTTGCATTATTACAACTCCTTTTGCCAGCGAACTTGCATCACACCATACAGTTAGAGATGCATTTGGTTTGAAATTTCACACGCATTTTGCTGGATCACATTTGATAACTTTATCCACGACTTCCTGCATCATTTCATTTATGCACTCATTCGTAATAGGTTCATCCCAAACCTCTTCGTTTGTACATCTCTTTGTCTCAACCATCCAGCAATTGGTAGATAAGTAACCAGATTACCAAATAATGAGAATATCTCCCTCTTGGTGAGCACATTTTTAATAATAGAAATCTCGCATCCTCTCTTCCAAAACATTTCCTTTGTAGAAGGATTTACTGTTACTTCCAATCCTAAAGCACGTACTGGGTTTTTGCCATAATATTTAGGTGTTTTCGCGTGAAGACACCTGAATATGTACCACCAGCTTCCTTTTATTTCCATTGGTTGCTAAGGTGTCGTCAATGTATCCTCTTGTTGATTTTGCAAGTACAGAATTTTGTTGGAGAACATATAAAATTATATCTCTATGTAAACATAGCTGTAACTAACCTAAATAATAATACCCATCAAAAGAAATGTTAACATTTTTATTTTATAACTAGTTTAAATTTATACCGTAAGTTTCAATATGTCACGTCTAAAATAGAAAATTATTGAAGAATATAAAGAATTCATATAGCCTATATTATAGAAAGGATTGTTATATAGAAAATTTAAAATAAGTTTGACAACCTTCGAAATTACAAATAACAATGTGTAATTTAAACTGCATTTATCCGTTGAAAAACGACTGAAACTTTTATTAAAAAGTATTCAAATCCGTTGAAAAACGACTGAAACTTTTATTAAAAAGGGTTTCCATAAAAAGTTATGACGTGCTTCCTTTGTAAACTGTATTTTTAAATCTTGTTTGTTTGATTTAGATTTGTCAATATGTTATAGTTCTTTATTTATAAATGATAAATTTTTAAATTGACAAATCTAAATCAAACAAACAAGATTTAAAAATACAGTTTACAGAGGAAGCACGTCATAACTTGTTATAGAAACCCTTTTTAATAAAAGTTTCAGTCGTTTTTCAACGGATTTGAATATTTAATGCGTTGAATTAACGAAATTTCAAAGAGTCCGTTATTAGTTAATTTTACTCCGTTAATTTTGTAATTTTTGGTTACGAATTACTTTCTTAATTTAACGGAATAAATCAATCCGTTGCTTTTTCTAACGGATTGTTTTTAGAGTGCGGCCTTGCGCAGTGGTTAGAGCGCCTGCTTCATAAGCAGGAGATCCAGGTTCGAAACGAGGTCTGGACATATTTTCGCGCCTTGGTAAGGAGGAAGTCATGAACTTCCTGGTTAAATGCTCTGTGACAAGATCGTTAGGACTTCTTGGGGCACCTAAAAATAATAACAAAAAAAAAAAAAATATGCCTCGCTCTACCCTACTACAAAAATATTGCAGTTTCGAAATCAGCGTCAAAAGTTATATCGAGACAACCCAAAATTATCTCTGATGAAATTTCTATGTTGACCTCTAATAGAGCTTTAGTTTTTTTATTGTTAATATGACTATTATTGCATGCATGCAATAATAGTCATATTAACAATAAAATATCTATGACAGCCGGTATAAATTAATTAAAGAACAAGTCAATTCACTTACTAAATAATAAAACGTTAATAATAAGCTTTCTATATTTTTCTCTCGGTTGTTATTGTTTCTTAGTCAACCGATTGCAAATTTAATTTGAAGCTTTTAACTGTAGTAGATTGAATGACTTCTGCTGGTAGACTATTTCATCCATCAACGATCCTATTGCTGAAAAAATATTGCTTTTCAAACAATTTCTGATTAATTCAGGTTTTATTCGATGTTTTGCTCCTCTAATGTTAGACGCAAGAGTAAATAGAGTTCATTGTTTGATTTTGTTTAATATAAATTATTTCAATACTTTTAAATATTTTGAATTGCTAGATCAAGTCGTCTCTTAGCCTTCTAGTCTCCAAAGTAGTCAAACCCAAAATCTCCAATCTTTTTTTGTACTCAAGATGTCTAATGTGTTTTAGACAATTAAAAAATAATAATATTATTAAAAAAGGGACAAAAATACATGTAAGTTACTCTATTTACTTTGCGAGAACCAACTTGGACAATCTTTCACTATAACTTATATGTTTTATTATTATTATTATCTTATATTATTTCTTATATGTTTTATATCTTATATTAACTTATATGTTTTATTATTATTATTATTATTTTTATTATTATTATTATTATAGTTGTAGCCGTAAAATATACATACCATATATACATACAGCGAGCAGGGAAAACACCCTAATATAAACAACCAGTTTTATAAATATTCGTTCCGAATTTTATCCTCAACTAGATCTAATCTAATTTTAAAAGAAAGTACAGTGGAGTATAAAGTTACTTGCTCAGGTTGTTCATTCCAGTACTTTGCTGATCTATTATATAATTGGTTGTGTCTTGGAAGACAGTTTGGAACATATTCGCGTCTTATTTTAAGATAGTGACCACGTGACAATGAGTTAACAAATTTTGGTTGATATATATTATTAATTATATCAAATCGATGTATTAGTTTAAAAACTTGTATTAGATCGCATCGTAGGCGCCGAAACTCAAGTGATGGTAAGTTTAATCTTTTAAGCTTTTCATAGTATTGAAGATTTCTCAAGTTTAAATTTTAGTTTTAGATCCTACGACTCCGGAGGGTAGGAGGAAAAAATAAATTTTAAGAATACTGAGGATTTAGAAATTGATAAGTGTGCCTCGTCTTTGAACTTTTTCCTGATCATTGATATTTTTTTTATCGCTTGAACGCTATACTGGAACTGCAAATTCTAAGAGTGGTCTAA